AGTTACGCTAAACCACATAAGGCAGTCAAAAGTGCCACAATAGGGAAATGGGTCAAGTCGACAATGGCAGATGCAGGTATTGATACTAYGGTTTTTTCCGCACACAGTGGAAGATCAGCTTCGACTTCATACGCAAKATCGGCTGGGATTCCCCTCAAGGACATCCTGAAAGCTGGGGGATGGGCYAATGCACAAACATTTGCCATATATTATGATAAACCTCTTACAAGAAACTATGGTTCTTCTATTTTAGACTACTATTCCCGATCAYAGGCTTATACAATAGCTTCAGAGATATTTAGACTTTAAATTAAGTCTCATCATTAATGATAAAGTTGTAAACTCTCCTCTTTATAGACAATATAGATACGTATATAACGYGTTGTCATATCGTCTGAGCTCGTTTTGCCATGCACATTCGGGACGTTAAAATCTCATGGGTCTCCRTAGTGAMGTAGACTGATGACGTGATAGAATTTWAAAATTAAACGAGACTTACCTGTAAGTATCTCGTCATCAGTCAGGAACGTAGGACTCATGCCMAGCCCTGGCATGTTTGTATACCCGCCCTGACTCCTTCGTTCCTGGCTGATTGTGTTCCCGAATGTGCTGGCTTTGAAAAATGACCAATAGAGCAAGCGCGTGCTTCTCATGTGACTCCTACGTTCCTGACTGATGACGAATTCCAATCAAACATCGACTYACAGGTAAGTCTCGTTTAATTTTTAAATTAAAAGTAAACAATTGTCAAATTGCTTCAATCGTATTACTTTCTGATTATTAATCGGGGTTCTATAGGAATCCCCGAGTTTAAATTTCAGCTGTCTTTTTCATCTTCGTCATGGTCGTATTTCGATCAGAAAATGTCCTCGGCCAAACTAGAATGTACTGGGTACGAATGAAACAACATGACACATGACATTCACAACTTCCATGTGCTTTTGCTCCATGTGCTAATTTTCCGTGGCGATTGTGATAAAAAAGATGAAAGACATGGATTCAACTTCAAATACGCTCAAATCACTTACAAATCCACACACCATTCGCGGTATATCCACACTAAAAGATGTCGAGCGTTTTTCGGAAAGGCATTTGGAGAGATACCGCGAATTTATCGTGAAACTTATCGTGAAATTTATCGTGAACTATCTATCAAACAAGCTATCTTATCAAAAGCGAACTATATACTAACTTACTACTCTTCTCAGTAGACTGTGACCACTCTCGTTTTCTCGTTTGATCGGCCGTTATTTTTTTGATACCACGTGATCGACTTTTATACATCACGTGATGTTGTTTACGWGTACCACGTGCACAACATTCCACAGGGCAGCTAGCTGCTGTATGCTACTCGTGTTACTAAATAACTGCAAGTCGTTAATGTAGCACTATGGCTGCCGTTTATCAACTGAAAATTAGGTTTGAAGAGAGAAACACCGTGGTTTTCTTAGAGCCCGAAGACATTCCTTTTATGGACTTATTTTCCCTTATTGAAAAAATCAAGCGCACCTTGCCAAGTAGATACCAAGTGTTGGGTGTTGATCAAATACGACTCAAATACCTTGACGACGAAAAGTGCTTTGTGGAACTATCAGACGATAGCAGTATTCAACAATATTGTATTTCGGAAATGTTCCGTTGTGCTGTCCAAGTGGAAAACGCGGATTTTAAGCGTATAACTTTAAAGCTAGAGATAAATGATTCTCCCATGCTGGCGCCATGTCGTCCCGTTGGGAAAAGATCAATGATCACCTGTAGTAATCCAAGTCCAACAAGTTTGCCTTCAAAAAGTGAAAAGGAACGGAAAACTGCTAAACAACAGCCGAAAGCAAGTCGTCGTCTCGAAACTCTTTTTAAGCCGAAGCCTGCAGAAGTCTCTTCTAAGTCACCGCAACTTGCTGCTTTGGCGCCATTATCATGTGAGCAGTCGAACAGTCTGTTCAAAAGTCCACTGGAAAAGTACATAGACCATCAAGAAAACAACTTAGACGCGTTAAAAGAGAAGGAAAGACAATTGTCAGGTTGGATTNCTATATGCATGAAATAAAAGTTGCAGTTCTAACGATTCTTTAACGATAATAGTTTACATCAGATTTCACATACTAAGATAACCGACTTCCCTATAGAATCCCGCACAGTCTAAACTGGTAAGATGTTGTAAACACTCGTAAACACCGTCATGGACATTTCTGTTGAACACAGCTTTGATATCAGAACGCTGAGCCAATTTCTTAAACTTGTTAAAGGCCAACTCACATGGGTTTAGCTCGGGCGAATACACGGGAAGATAGACAACATCGATTCCAAATTGATCTAGAAATTCCGCTAAAATGAAACCTCCGTTGTTGTGATGGGTTGCACAGTTGTCGAGTACAACAATGTCACCATACTGTAGAGCAGGAAAGCCACTTGGTATTCTACTGTTGCTAGCTTCTCCCCAAAAATTGAGAAATTTAAGGGTATCAGAAGGTCCGTCTTCCGTGTTAGCATAAACGACTCCRTCTAATCCGATCAGTAAGTTCAGAGTTACATTAGGAGCATTGTGATAACGGCCAATTTCCACGCATTTCGTGTTGATCTGTGAATGGCCGTAAGTGGGTTTGCCGACGTCTGGCAAACAAAACCCAGCTTCGTCGAAGTATTTGATTCTGTAAGGGTCAATTGTATTCATGTAATTTAGAAAATCTTGACAGTAGTTAGTGTTAGCGGGTAAAAATTTATCTCCATTAGCTCGAGACATTCTTTTCCACGTCCATCGGCCTCCTTGCAGTCGATTCTGGACCGCTTTTCCGAGAGACGATCGTGAAGTTCCAGCTGGAATAGGGCAGTGCATGTTCACAGCTTCATGGATTTTAGAGTAAGGCATAGAAGGCTTTATGGTTTTCAGACCCTCAATGAAATCAAGATGATGAGACTGCAAATGTGGTGGATTATTGCCTCCTTTCCACTGAACATCGATATCGGCCGTTTCAGAACACTGCCTCCAAATCTTTTTGACTGTAGTTTTGCTGACTTTAAAGTGTTCGGCTACTTCTCTCAGCGAACCTGGGAAGTGTCSTGTTACTATATCGCCGCCTTTACTGATCATATGGTCCACAATTGCAGTGCGTACATCAAAACCTAGAGATTTTCCGCGATGAAACGTTCGCCCTTTTTTCGTTACAATCATGATTTTTGATTTTGGCGCGCTTTCAGTTAATGTTGTTCACGTGGTGCACGTAAACAGCATCACGTGATGTATTAAAGTCGATCACGTGGTATCAAAAAAATAACGGCCGATCAAACGAGAAAACGAGGGTGGTCACAGTCTACTGAGAAGAGTAGTATACAGGCTCTGAAACTACAAAGAACATATCCAAGGAATGCGAAAAGAATTGTACTAAGGAAAAACCGACGATTGGAAGTATTTCATTTAGCCTGCCATGTGACTACTATCAAAGTGAGGAAGACTTCCCAAAAATAATCAATTCTTCAATAACATTAATACTAAGTACTTTACTTCTGTTATTATTTTTTATTCTAGGAATTTTTTTTGCTTTATTCTTTTGATGTTATCAATATTAACTTTATCAGGCTGTTTTAAAAAACAGTCCAATTCTTAGACTACTACACTCAAACCATTGTCACTTCATCGTTTAGTGATTGTGATATCTTAGATAAAACTATTTGTTTGACTGTTTATGGTCTATACAATGATGCACAAGTCACAATTAAGATTACAAGTACTACAAGATCTCGTTATTCAAAGTTTGTTTATTATAATTACCGACATATACGTTGTAATCGTACTCGTGAGCCCAGTAGAATTCCAAAACGATTTCTAGAACGCTTAAATCACAAAAGTAGAAAGCTAAGATGTGTTGTTTATCATCGAATCTGCCGCAATATTCCCAGATCTTCTAAGTTGCATAACTATATCAACTTCAGAAAGCTTAGAAGAAAGTACTTTGCCTCAAAATTAAAGAGTATTGATGCACCAACGTACAGATCACAAGGACGAAAGTTGAAATATGAAGCTAGTCGCTATATGACTTTTCCTTCTTGTAATAGACCGACGTCTCTTTATAAGACTCCCATGTAATTTTAATTACATGTTAAAACTATTGTAAGTGTAAACTACACAATGATATAGAAAAGAATCCTGGCCCAAATATTACACAATTTCTTGATCCTAGCAAGACAATAAAAGCACCATATAGCCAAGGTAATGCTGTCATGTTTGGACAAAATGCAGGACAACAATGTGTTGCTATGAGTTTATGTTCTTTGATTTATAATAATTWTCAAGGAATTAATTCATCAAATGATCTTGTGAAGATAATGGACATAGGAAATCAGTTGTATACACGATTGTCACAATCAGCTAGACAATCAGTTCTCATGCAATCAGAATTACCTACAGACTTGAGTGTGTTTGATGCTGATTATAAACTTCAATATAGTGAGCGTTTTACATGTAATATGCACCAAGAGACTATAATAGAAGGATATGACAACTGCACTTCGTTAGAAATAGCATTTACATCTTTGATATCTAACAATTACACCAGTTTCATATTGACAATAGGGTGTATTGCTGTTGCTATATACTGTCATGGTGATGTGGGATTTAAAGTATTTGACTCTCATGCAAGAGATATATATGGTAGAAGCAATGCTTGTGGTACATGTGTCTTAATTGAATTGTCATCATTAAATAACTTGATTCAATATTTTAAAAGTATACATAATGATATATTTGAACTTAAAGGTGTGCATGTCAATAATAATGTTGAAGGTGGTACTGTGCCCATTGAACTCAATTCTATAGACTGCACAAATTTTAACTTGAGTTGTACTGTAGCTGTCTATTAATTTGTTATTCTATAATGAAATCATGTAGCTACTGGAATTCAGCTAATTTCAAAAATATTATAGATGGAGGAAGACTATTATGTGAATATCTCTGTTTAAATCGTCATATAACATCAGATGATATTCCATGCACAATTGATATTTGTGGGGCTAAAGTAACTTGCGAAAGTGATGCTGGTGTAAAAGGAGTATTGTCTGATTCCATGGAAAGTAAGTCAACTCTTGAAAGTATTATAAAAAATCATTTTACTAGGAGTTATGGATGTTTGATTTGGTTTTGAACATACTGTATCTGTTGTATATTTAAAACTGTCATGAAGTCAAAGTTAAAGTTTACATACTTCTTTTTGCTTTATGATAAATCTAAAACACCACCGCTTCAACATACAGAAAGTGTTAATGTAACATGGGGATACTATTATCCCCATGTATTAATGGTCACTTGTGGATACTATTATCAATGTGAAAAAGCAAAATCCATGTGGACAACAATGTACATTACAGTTTTTGTCATGCAATTGTAATAAAGACAAAAATGAGAGAAAAAGATTAATGACAAATCATAGACAGAGACAAAATTCTGAAACAATGAACCAAAGAAAAAACTACTACTAGAAAAAGATACCCACATGAGAATAAAAAAGATTAAACTGCAAGAGGACCAAAAAGTATCAATCAATGGACTGTAAAGAAAAACAACAGTTATTGGATAAACGAAATGAAAAATATGCAAAAATGGACAGTGTAGGAAAAGAACAGTTATTGGACAAAGAAAGACAAAAATACAGAACAATGGACAATGTAGAAAAACAACAGTTATTGGATAAAAAAATGAAAAATACAGAACAATGGACAGTATGCAAAAACAACAGTTATTGGATAAACGACATGAAAAACACTCAACAATGGACAGTGTGCAAAAACAACAGTTATTGGATAAACGAAATGAAAAATACAGAACAATGGACAGTATGCAAAAACAACAGTTATTGGATAAACAAAGCGAAAAATACTCCAGCAATAACAAAGGTAAAGATCTAGATTCCTGTATCAAACAGTTTCAAAAGAAAATAAGAGAAGGCCCTTATTACACATGTTGTGTGTGTAACCGAAACCTTTATAAGAAGTCAGTCATGAAGCTAAATAAAAATAAATACCAGTCACAAAATATGTTTACAATCAAAGTATCATTTGATGGCAAAGAATATATCTGTAAAACATGCCATTCAAAGTGTGTAAAAAATATAACTCCATGTCAAGCTATAGTTTATAATTTGTTTGTCGATGATATACCATCTGAACTTGAAAGTTTGAAAAAATTAGAACAAATATTGATTGCACAGCGCATAGTTTTTGAAAAAATTGTGATAATGCCAGCAACGTAAGATTAAAGGGTCTATTTGTAATGTAGCAGTACAATGTGATAAGACTTGTAATATTCTTCCTCGTCCTCCTGAGAGTTCTGGCATTATTATGTTGAAGTTAAAACGAAAGCTTCAGTTTAGAGGTCATGTATATTTTGAAGCAGTCAGACCAGCTTTTTTAAATGCAGCACTTACATGGCTCAAAGCAAATAACATGTTATATAAAGATATTGCAATTGATTGTACAAATATTAGCAATGAGCACACAGATATCATGCATAATGAAACTGATGACATACAAGCAGATACTTGTGACGAAATAACAAATACTGCAGCTAAGAATGATATAAGCAATGTTGATTCTACAGACACAAATACTAATAATAAAATGAACACAGATCACCAACTAATGAAACATGTTTACAAGCAATTTGCCCAGACTACCCAGTTATTTTGGAAGAAAGTAATTCTAATGTTTCTACTGGACAAGAGATTTGCAATGTTGCACCAGGTGAAAACAAACATCCAGTATCTTTGATGACTGACAAACTATGTGAAGAACTTGCATTCCCTGTATTGTTTCCTTAAGGTAGATTTAGATATACTGCTGAAAGAGATATAAAATTATCACCGGTTAAGTATTTTAATACAAGATTATTGCATTACAGTGGGAGATTTGCTATGCATCCTGAATACTTATTTTTTGCACAGTTCATAATCGAACAGAAGAAAGTATCTGATAGTATAAATATTGCACTTAAGAAAGTTCATGGTCAGGAAGTCACTGCATCACAGGTTAAATCTAATAGTACTCAAATACTTAAAAACCTTATATCTCAAGACCAGGCCTATCTATTAAGGCAGATTCCAGGCTCCCCTCCATACTGGCAAAAATTCATGTATGAARTTGTAGCAATGGTGAAACAACTTGGTATACCAACATGGTTCATGACATTATCATGTGCAGACTTAAGATGGCCTGAACTATTTCAGATTATTGCAAGAACTAATGGTAGAAACATGAGTGATGAAGAACTAGATGCTTTATCATATGATGAAAAATGTAGGCTTAATATTAATCCTGTTATCACCGCAAAACACTTTCAGTATAGAGTAGAAACCTTCTTTACTGAAATTTTACTGACCAATGTAAACCCAATAGGTAAAATAGTATATTATGCTCTTCGTATAGAATTTCAGATGAGAGGTTCTCCTCATTTACATGCATTAATATGGACGTCAGACTGCCTTAAGTTAAATCATGATACTAAAGAATCCTATATAAAGTATATTGATGAACATGTACAAGCATACTTACCAGACAAAGGCACTGAACCCGAATTGCATGAATTGGTAAAAAAGTATCAAACTCATAGCCACAGTAAAACATGTAGAAAATACAAAAATATAGCATGCAAGGTTTAATGGACAATTCTTTACTGATAGGACTATTGTATCTGAACCTTTACCTGATGATATGGATGATGACATTAAAAGTAGTACATTGAATAGATGTAGAGAAATACTTACTTCAGTGAAACAGAAAATAGATGAAGTACTGAATCCTAGCAAGCCTGAATATAATCCATCCCTTACTGATGAAGATATTTTTCAAGATGTTGGTACAACTAAACAAGAATATGAAGCAGCATTATCAATATGACCTGATTCTGATTATGGCAAAGACAACCGGGCAGAAAAKAAACCTTTACGCGAAGATCAAAAGGGAATGCAAACACTCATTTCAAATCTAGAAGCCGASAAAACAGCCTTAACGTATCGTTTCAACGTAGCTGAGGCTACATTATCATCATTGAAAGAAACACCAAGAAGTAGAATGCCTRTCGGAACCAATCTTGGTTTCACGTGCTCGAAATGCCATTACAAGGGACACAGGAGTTCATCCTGTAGACAGCCACCTTGCGAAGGATTCTTTGAATGCGGTAACACA